AAAAAATCTTTAAAAAAAATAATAAAATAAAATATTACAAAGAAAGAAAGAAAATGAAAGGAAAAGAGAATACAAGCAGAGTGATGTAGTTAGACAACCCGAAGCTTAGAGCTGGAGCCCCGTGGCTATTGAGCCTTGGGAGTTTAGATCTGCAATTTGATTATCTGGAAAATGGGCAAAACATTACCTTTTCTGACAACTTTAAGAAATCTCTATACCCAGTGTGTGGCTCAAACTCACAACCCTGAGATCAATAGTTGCATGCTCTACTGACTGAGCCAGCCAGGTGCCCCACCTTCTCTGACAACTTTAAAGCATTTGGATCACATGAAAGTGAACTAGCTCTGTAACTGACTATACCAACAGTAAGAGATTTGTAATCTTCAACATTCTTGGCTACAATATTATTTCTGATCTCCTCCCTGGTTTAATGTTACCCCCCATGCCTCCTTCCCCAGGGATAGATGTGGCTCCACCTATCACAGATCCTTTTTTCCAATTCTGCCCTTTCTGGAGAGAGCCACCTGCCTTCTCCTTATTAAGAGAGGGTGGGGGTGCCTGGGTGGCTTGGTCGGTTAAGCATCTGACTCTTGACTTCAGCTCACGTCATGATCTTAGGGTGGTGAGATTGAGCCCCACCTCGAGCCCCTAGACCCCTAGACGGGGTCATGCTCAGCAGGGAGTCTGCTTGAGATTCTCTCTCCCATTCCCTCTGCCCCTCCCCCACCTCGAGCCTGTGCACTCTCAAATAAATAAATCTTTAAAAAAAAGAGAGAGAGGGTAAAGTTTTCTGCCAAGACTTTTACAAGAGCAGGTTGCAAGTTGTTCCCCTGGTTTCTGGAAGAACCCGGAAAAATTCGCATACTCTCAGAACAGAAGGGGATCACAAAGGGCATCTGGCCCAGCCCTCCCCCATGCAAAATCCCTTCCTGCGCAGGCCCCCCGAGGTCCCCCAGCCGTACCTGAATGAACTGATGCAGCTCTGGCTGGCTCCTCAACAAGCTTCTTTCTTCTGCCCGTGGCTTCCACAAAGCCTACTCCTGGTTGTGCAGCTGGTGCCCAGCACCACCCCAAGGGCCACCATTCACCTTCTTATCAGGGAGTGATCAATGAACTGTATGGTTATCACAACTTGCCAACAGAAGGCAGCCGAGTGTGTGTCTCGAGGAAGGGGTGCCTTTTTCTAATTTGTCTGAGTCCTGGTAGTAGCGAGGCAGAACTGCTTCGCTTATCTGCCTTACTTGTTGCTTATCGCTTTCTTTTTCTTATTCCTAGTACGTGGCCTGACAATAATGTTTGCTGAAAAGGATTTTTGTTTCTATGTCTTGGGACTCATGCAGAACAAACTGAATCCCTCTTGCAACCCTCTTTAGATATTTGAGGGCAAAGACCAAGTTCCCAGTGAGTTTTCTCATCAAGGAAAACCCTTTACTGGACATATGAGGTGGTTTTGCTTTTGTTATCCTGCACTTGGACCGCTTCTCTTTTAAAACGTGGAATCCGGAACCAAATGTAGGGCACATGATAAAGATAATCCAGGTAGGGTAGAGTGAGACTACCACCTCCTAGGCTCAAGAATCCGGTGTGGAGGCCATGCTTTAGACTTGGCAGCAGTGGTGACCACTTGCAGAGGCACACGGATAGTTTGGGACAAGCAAGGCCCCTTAAGCCTGTATAGCAATTTCCATTATTCCAGAGGTAATCTGGCTCCTTGGAGGATTTGGGATTGCAAAGGGATGCGCATCAGCTGAGGGAAGGGGATCATCAGCTCCACTAGATGCCTGTGGACGGTTAACCACTGCACTTAGGCTGCTCCATAAATGTAGTTGTGGGATCGCGTGACTCACAAAGGGAGAATTGAGCTCATAAAGGAGAACAAGGGACAATGAAGTAGTGGAGAGAACCTGGTTGCTTGAGTCACACACTTGGTTTGAAAATCCAGCTCTAGGGGCGCCCGGCTGACTCCGTCAGTGGAGCATGCGACTCCTGATCTCAGGGTTGTGAATTCAAGCCCCGCGCTGGGTGTAGAGATTACTTAAAAATGAATAAGTAAACTTAAAACAAACACTAAAATCCAGCTCTGCCATTTATTTGGTGAGCCGCTTCACTTCCTGGGCCTGTTTCTGCACTTGTAAAACCAGGCAACTGTCTTTGCAAAGCTGATGTGTGGATTAGAGAAAATTCATGGTTATTATTCCTGAGTGAAGGAGAGAGAGGGGCTGAAGGTCAGCCTAATACAAGCCACTGACAAGAGTTTCAAGGAAATGGCCAAACATTCTAGAGAAGGGAGAACGAAGACGAGAGAAAATGCTGTTAAGAACACCAGTGATCTTTTTGCGGTGCGATTTAAGTGCTTGGGGAAGAGCTGAATTCCAGGAGCTTTAAGAGGGGGATCGGCGGCAGAGATGAGAAGTGGTCACCGGTCCACTTGGTAGAGGAATTTGGCAGCCAAAAGGAGAGGACGAAGTCAGACAAAAGATTGTCTTGCTCCTTAAAGCTACAGGCGGGTGCTTATTTAAACGCAGAACAGGTGCTGCGGGGTGAGGAGGAGCATGGAGGCACCTGAGAGCAAGGCCAGGGGCTCCAGGGAGCAGGAAGGACCAGACAGTGAAGCACGTCCCAGTGGCCTCAGGCCCCTGGGAAGGAACGCTGAGGTGCCAGCCATCTGCTGAGAGTGACGTGAAGCCGTGACCAGCATGGGGGTTTGGAGAGCAGGAAACACCTGCACCGGGAACCTAAGAGCAGGCAGTGAACAGGATTATCCAGCAGGGTTAAGGGTAGAAGATAGGTGGGCTCGTCTGCATGTTTCCCTCGGGCTGCTGTGACAAAGGCTCAGGAATGGAGGCAGGAGAGGCAGCCACCAGGTTTGACGGGGACTGCACAGAGTGAAAAGTTGAGGCGGGAAGCTCCTGGAAGGAACCCTGACCCTTGACTCTTGTGTGCCCTTCGGGCTGCTGTAAGGTTCTAGTCCTCTCTGTGCCCAAGGCTGATTTTAGCAGCTCAGGGCTGGAATCTGCCACAGGGCCCATCCTCCACAGCAGTGACCAGGTTCAAGAATGTACTGGATTCCTCCCCATTTCTGCCTGCCCTGTCCCTCACTTTGGTTCTCTGGAATCACTTCCTAAAATAATCACCGGCACACAAGCCCTCACCTTAGGTTCTGCTCTCTGGGCGGCCCAGGCCAGGCCAGTGGCCCAGGAAAGGTGAACTTCCCCTGAGCTGGTATTTCATTGTGAAGATCAATGCAGAAAAATACATTTCCCCCCAACATGTGCCACCTTTTACTTACTTCTTTAAAAAAAATTGCTTATTCCACTGTTGCCCTGGAAAGCAAGCAGGGCAGGAGTCAGTATTCCGTAAGGACCCCGAAACCAAAGCAGATAGAACACTTTGTGCCTTGATTCTGGTCTCTAAAAAGGGTGAATAAATGAATTATTTAAATGAGACAAAGTAAAAAAAAAAAAATCGAATGGAGTGTGTTTCGCTATTATTATGCAATAGCAAAACCAGGTTATCGGGTGAGAGGTCAGTGTGAAGGTCTGAACTATCAGATCACATGCTGACCATTAGGATGTTTAATTTTTTCTGAGTTTCATAAATCGGTCAAAGGTTGTACTTTAATGGTTCCATCTTTTGAGAAAATCGTGTTTGGAGGAATCACTGAAAGCTACTTTACTCCATGATTTTTTATCTGGTTCTCCTCCTTCCGAGAAGCTACCTAGAACTCGAAACTCCCATGAAGGAGGACATGTTCATCTGCGCAAGGAGGGCCTGCAGGTCGCGGTTCCAGTTTTTACCTTTGGAATTATGCTTTTTTGCCTCATCTGAAATGTGTGCATTTATGGAACCAAGAGTGAGAAAAAACAAACGCCAACCTTGCGACCTAGAGGTGATAATTTATTGTTTTACCATGACCCAGAAGAGAAACGACATAAAGAGATATTTATTACAATTCCCCATAATTTCCTTCCCCATCTGCTCTAACATTTGTCAGATACCACCGGCCTCCCAAAATGGACCACTGACTATAAATGCATTCAGTGGTACTTTGCTGCCATTTCTCATGATGGAAACTTTAGTCCTCCATCAAGTTTTCAAACTATTTTCAATAGAGGAGTTCCCTAGCTTTTTAAAAAACAAACCACTTTTCCTCTAAGATTCCATTATTTATTCAAAGAAGCCTTCCTAGAAAGGTTAATGAGGATTCTAAATGAACAAATTCAGTTTAAAAATCACTTACTGAACATCTACCAAGCATCTGGACTCTTCTAAGACTAGTGAAATGAAAGGCCAGGTTTCAACAGCAATAACTTAATTCTGAGGGTATACAAAGACAAGTTTCTTCTTTTGGTCTAATTTATTCTAAACTAAGAAACTAGGGACTGACAAAACAGGAAAGGTTTGTCTTATCCAGTCTACAGAAAAACAAGACAATGCCTGAGTTAGCTCTCTATATAGATTTAGGCTTATGATGTTGACCTGGTTGTAATAATCTATATTTAACTACAAGTTAATAAAAATACGTTATGTTCTTTTTAAAATAATTGCTGATTTTGCTTACAACGCCCCCCCTTAACCTTAAACTCACATTATTTTTAGACCAAGATTTTCCGGCACAATCACCGTCTGTTGCCCCCCCCCCCCCCATCTATTTGTTCTCACGGAAGAACTCCTGCTACTAGCAGAAGCAGCTCTAAGCCTAACATGCTTTGTCCTCGCTAGGGCAGAAAGAAACCTTACCTAAACTGTTCAGAGGTTGAGGTGAGGGGGAAGGCAAGCGAGCACTGTCCAACACACCTGAGTTGGGGCGACTGCAGCTGCCTAGTCCCTTCCCTGGACCCAAGGAACTTAAAACCCAAATGTGAAACTGGAATGAAATCCGAGTTTTAACACCACCTTTCACTCACAGGTCTCATTTTTTCTTCTTAGTATCTTAAAACACTTAGCCTCACTGCTTAATGAGTGCTTGTGGAAGGGAGAAAGTTTGACTTTAAGACCAATTAGCTTTGCTGACTACTGTGTAACTCTTAAATGAGCCATGATTCTTTAAGTAAATGGAGGGCAGAAATCTTAAAGACTTTTTTTTTTCTTACTGTTAAAATAACATTGCTTAGAAGTCAACCTAATGCCTCTCCTTACCTTCCACTGTTTTAGGATAAAGAGAAAAACATGAGGTTTGTGGTATCCACTGTTAAACAGACCGGACAATATGAAAACTATGTTCTCATGTTAGGACATTCTGTCAAATGAGATGTCCAAAGTGTTTCTCCAACTTTTGTGTGACCTGCAGAATTGGAGATGGCTTAGCCTCCCTATAACTTCAAGTTTGCTTTACAAAGCTTTGAAAAGTAAAACAGGTAATTTCATCTTCAGATAGAATAAAAAATTAATTTGAGTAGCAAAATAAGTAACTGCTTTTAAATGTACAGTAGTGTGTCCATTCTAAAAACAAAACCTAAACCTATGTTAGGAAAACTTTTCAAATAATGCTTTTTATTGAATTCTCCAGTAGTAGTTGAAATAAAAATCTACTCTAACTTCTACGAAAAGATCTATTTATACCATTTAATTTTCTCTTCTCTGATTCTACGTTTCACTTTGCAACCTGCAGACCTTCATGGTTTCCCAAATGGGGAACCCAGCCCCCTCATAAATATTTCTGAGAAGTTGCTCAGAGTGGGACACACAAAAAATATGGCTCCTCTGGCAAGTATTGCTGTCACCGTCTGACTATGTTTTAATACTGTTACTCCAATTCGTGTAACCAAATCTTCCATGAGGATGGTAGGATGAACCTGGTTAGCTAGCTTCTGATGAGGACTTCAGGGTGACCAGACCCTGGAATGAAAGGTGATCAACTCTAGGGTAAAAGGGAGGAAAAAATTCCTTCATAGCTACAAATCTTCACAAGCCTTCCAACAGTCATGGGGAAGGAACAATCCGAGGAAGTGAGCGGGGGGCAGGGAAGGTACACAGGAGTACAGCCAAAGGGAATACTACAAAATGCTTCTCCAGCCTTGTTAGAAAAACTTCCTGCCATGCCAGGAACTGGATGCATCTGTGCCTATTTTCCAGGAAAGGGCCCATCTTGGTGCTTTGCTATCCCAAATTTCCTAAGCATGAAGATTAGTGGGGGAAGCGGGACTATGGTTTCCACAATCTGGTCAGGTTAAGTGGTCCACTGGCCTTCCCAGGGCATTCCCCGCTCTCAATTCACGGAGAAGCTCCCCCCACCCCCCACCGGAAGCTCAGAGAATCCATTCTCTTTGCCTGGAATGGTGAGCTGGCAGCTAAGGGGTCCACTTCCTGGCTTTGAAGAGAAAACGCCCAGGAAGCTGCAGATGTTTCTAGGAACCATTCCATTCTAGAGCCCTATTAACCTGTCTCTCCTAAGGAATCTCTGAATCTCCTCTCCTGATTTGGTAAGCACTAAATTATGAAGGTTTTTCTCTCATTTCCCCCCTCCTCAGGTCTGTGAACTGACTTTTTATCTATACCCACATCACCTCCTTCACTACTCACTCCAAAACTTTGCTCTTTTGGAGTGACGTGTTCTGTCAAATAGATTAAAATAAAGTACATTATCTGTTTACAGGGAATACAGAGTAGAACCGGGTCAGAGGTACAAAACATGGACACTGACATTGCGGTCATACAAAATATATATAGAAGTACCCAGCATGAACAGTTTTTGCCTTCTTTTTAGCATTTCCCCACATTTTTTCTTCTTCTGTGGATCCTCTGGAGTTAAGATCGAGCTTCCTCTGCAGTGTTTCTGAAATTCATTACATGATTGGAACATACTGACAGAATTCATTTTCTGTCCAAAGCAACGAGTGGTATACATGAAAGTTCGCCTCAGGTACAATATTAATAAAGTTTATTAACAGCTAAGCTTTCTGATGCTAAGGGCTGAGATAGGATGGAAGGCTTTGCCATACGTATCGCATTCATGAGGTTCCCTTCTGGAATGAATTCTCTGATGTATGTGAGATGTCAATGGTCACACACGTCAAACACGGCAAACTCTCTGTACAAAGTTAGCACAGTCTCACTTTTATGCCTTGAATAAAATACTAAGTGTCTTAGCCTATCAAGATGCCTCATATTCTGAGATCTATATTCTCAGGCTGTAGCTTTGTCTGCCAGGCTGGAGTAGAAACAAATTCCCCACAATCTGAAGGATTTCACTTCTCTTCCTGGCAGGTTTATTTAATAAGGTATTTTCTTAAAAACCCTTCAAAAACTTCCATTAGGTCAACTAGCATGCTAATGGTTAACTACGGAGTACTTCAAGCCCGTCAAGAACTTCTGAACGCCCCGACGCTAATGAGCTGTGGTAAGCCCTTCTGACCATGACCCAGTTACACTTCGCGCTGGGCAGCTGATAAATGGACGTGACGTGAATGGTTTTAATAAACAGCCCAAGCCTGGCTTCTTCAGAAAATGCGTTTTCAAATGGCTGCTTGAAGGAGTGCGTCTGCCGAAGACCTAAGGCAACCACGGTGACCACCCCATGGTTGGCACAGGACAGAAACGCGAGGCGCAGGTTGCACCGAACTTTCAAAACACAAACGACGACTGCGTGATGGCAGCATGTAGTTGCGGCCCAAGAAAGGCCCATGTAGAACCAACCAAAGTTCACTGCCTCTCCAGAACAGTCGGCGCTTTGATTGGTGCCCGGGCTGAAGCGCCTCGGTGCTCTCAGGGCTTCCCGGGGGCAAGTCTCTGCTGACGAGCGCCAGCAGGTTTGTGTGAAGCCTCCACTGTGGCTCACTTTTTGAAGAAAACCTTAAAAGCACTTCTTCCGCCTTCATTTACTATAAAAAGCCATTAGGTATACTCTTCTGGAGCATCTCCTGCTGTTCTTAAACTGGATGGATGGAATTCTCCCGGTCACCAGGGGACTTCCTTGAAGTTTCCGCAGGCGACACTGATGGAACTGCTTAGAAGCTCCAGGTGGTTGGTCCCAGTTATGAAGAGAGGCCAAAGAATCACTGCTGCGCAGAATTTTAGTTTGGTCTGGAACTGAGGCCACAGCTGCCCCCACCTCACTGGTTCCCCATAAAGCCAGGGCGTCTGGTGGGCTTGAGTTGTCGGTCAGGGAACAACTGCTGAAGGATGACAGTTTTAGTCGTTTCTTGAGGGAAAAACTCAAACTCTATGTGGGGTTCTCCCATTAGGCAGAGAGTCTTCAGGTCTGCTCTTAGTCTGTTTCTAAGTTCCTGCAGGGCTGTGCACCATCATTTGCACACTCTCACGAGCAGAGACCTTTCTCCCCGAGTCCCTGAGGACTGCCTATGACGCCCAGGATACCTGGCTCTCCCGTGTGTGTATCTGAAAACCGTCTGTCACTAGCTTCTAGGCAGCCGATTGCTTCCTCCTGCACAGACGACGGAAAAGACCAGTTTCCTAGCCTCCCCTCAGTCTTCAGGGATGAGAAACAGAAAAGACTCTGTGCAGTTCAACTATCATACAACCAACCACATCTCAGCTTGTCGATGAACTTCCCAGAGCAACACACACATTGGGGAATTGCCAGCTGATGGTATCAAATGCCTTTGCAAACATTCTGGAAAGTGTGGGGGGAAAATGCACTCTACACCTTTCCTTGTTCTGAAAAGCAACAAAAACCATGTCTTCTGCACTGTATTATTCAGTCACAAATGACTGAGAAAGTGCCTAAATGATCATGCTGTTCATCAGCTGACTGAAGAGAATTCTGGCTAAGATCTTTCGCCCCAGAAAGATGTCAAGATACGGCCTTAGTAAAAGTTCCTATTTTTCTGAAGATGATGACGAGAGTTGTTTCTGGCATTCCGTGGTTATTTACTCACAGATCTGTGTTTAGAAAAGTTTATGCAGGTAGCTACCCAGCGGCTTTCTTTTATACTCAGGATAAAAGGAACATCAGACCCTGGAGCTGTAGCATGCTCGGACTCCGAAGGTCCTCTTCCAAAGCTGGGCCAGGCGACCCTACTTCAGGTACTCCTGATTCACACAGACTTCAGCGTAAGCGTAGAAGTCCTGGTAGAAGTCAGGTATAACGAGTACCTCTTCCGTGTTCAGCACTGTATCCAGTGCTGTCGGGATACAGAGTGATCCCTTGATGTTCGAAGCATCTCTTTGGGGAGGGGGCATGATGAAAACTTTCATACACGAAACAACGGAGGATTAAAAGACAGTCTACAATCAATCAAGTGCTAACTTGTGGAGAAATGCATTTTGGAGTGCAATAGTGCTTTTGGGATTTCGAGAAGGGAGAGAAGGGTTTTGAATCATTGTTGCCATTTCAGTAGAATTTATCTCAGCGATGAGGATAGAACCATCTACATTTGTTGGAATCCTTTGGAACTGTAGACTGGTGCACATACCCTCTTTCAGGAAGAGCTAGAAATCTTTGGTTTGATACCGATCAGCACAGTCCTAGATTTCTATAGCTTTGGCAGGCTACCAGTGATCGTATATAACTTATCGTATATATAACTAGTTTGAGCAGCATGTCGCAATGCAGTTTGTTTTAACGGTTCCTTGTTTCTGAGAAATAAGGTAGAGCAAGATGTTGGCCAAGTAGGGCTTGTTTGCAGCAAGCAGCTTTAAAACCCCAGTATTGCCTTCACGGAGCCAATCTTGATCTTTCAATTCTATGTTGTGGTTGCTGAGTCTGAGAGCGCCTTAAAGGTATCCTCATTACTGAAAAGCTTGACATTTGACTGTATGTGTGCTTTTATCTTGTATGGAAATATCGTGTGGATTCTCCATAGGACTAGCTTTTCCCTGCAGGGGCCGTATGGAAGGATTACATGCCCACAGACGATGCAAAGGCGGAACACTGCTGATGGAACTACAAGGATCCTGAAGTGTGATTTTTTTTTTCCTTTTAATCTGTTGAGGCCGCCTTTTTTTCCCCTCTGTGGGCACAATCTCTGAAGTAATTCTGGAAACAAAAGGGGGAAATGGCTTGTTGACGAATTCTCACTTTACACACAGCTTTTCAGGAATGCGCCAAACGCATCGAGGGAGGCGGGGCTGTACTCGGAGGCTCGCTCCCTGGTGTGGATCCTGTGATGCAGAGTGAGGGTGGAGCTCCGGGTGAAGGCCTTGCCGCACTTAGTGCACTTATAGGGCTTTTCTCGGGTGTGAATCCTCCGATGCAAAATAAGGTACGAGTTTCGGTTGAAAGCTTTTCCGCATTCACTACATTCATAGGGTTTCTCCCCTGTGTGGATCCTCTGATGTTTAGTAAGGTCTGAGCTCTGGCTGAAGGCCTTCCCACACTCGTTACATTCATAGGGTTTCTCTCCAGAGTGGATCCGCTGATGGAGAATGAGATTCGAACTGTGACTGAAGGCTTTGCCACACTCGTTACATTCATGAGGTTTCTCTCCTGTGTGGATTCTCTGATGCAGGACCAGGTTTGAGTTAAGACTGAAGGCTTTCCCACACTCACTACATTCATAGGGCTTTTCTCCAGTGTGGATTATTTTATGGCGAATAAGGCTTGAACTCCTCGTGAAGCATTTCCCACATTCATCACATCTGTGGGACTTTGCTCCCGTTGGAGCTTCTTCAGAGGCGTTAAAGTTTGAACTCAGACTGAAGCTTCTTCCCAAACCTTTACCCTTCTCCCTTGGACCTCTCTCTCCCGCGGTGGGTTTTTTTTCCTTGACTGTAGCTGGCCCCGAATCTCTTTTTTCTCTTCCTGTTTTTTCCTCAGGGTTTCTCTGCTGCCTTTCTACTGTTCTGCCCTGCTGTTCACGTTTTTCTCCAAAATCTTTCTGGAATCTTCCTGTTGTCTCCCCACGTGACGCTGAGTCTTCTGCGATTTCAGCCTTTGAGGCTGACTCCTCATTCTCATTCCTGTTTTCACAACCTGACACAATAGAAAATACAAATGGCACCATTTTCTTTTGAATATGTGGGTTAATCAACTGACACTGTCTTCCTGGAAGCTTCTACATGCCTGCAAAATGACCTCACAGTATTAATCGGGGATAAAATATAAGAAAAGCAGGGGGAAAGAATCGGGACAACATGGAGTAGAGTTGGGGAAGGAGAGGGCGGGCTGAGTGGGAGGAGAGCAGAGGGAGCGCAGGGAGAGGATGGGAGCGCACATGGGGGTGGGGGAGTGAAGAGCAGAGGGAGCAGAACCAGTTAGGGAAGGAAGGGAGGAGGAAAGAAGGAACGTAAGAGGTCACAATTCACAGTTCTAGGATTTGGTTACCCAATTATTAATATGAAGGAATATATGTTAAAAAAATCACGTTCTGTTTCTAATATTAAGTAGGAGTTTGAACAAAGAGAATGGACAGGTCCCTCCTAGAAACGGTAAGCGGTACTAGCCCACAAAGGAAGGCATATATATAGTTAATAAAGGAAAAGCGAATACTCCGATTCTGGGAGATTTTTAACAAGGCCACGGTTAGTGGACAACACAGGAGCTCTCGACTTGGCAGGTCACTTGGGTCTTCAGACACAGGAGTCTCTCTCCTCCAGCGAGAGCAGCACAGTTGACAGTGCTCAATTATCAGAGTGGAGGGTGAGGAAGTTGATTGGGGCATTAGTAAACGTGACTAAAAACCTTCACTGACAGACCACTGAGAGTACCTGAGAACAGAAAAGAAACTGAGAACAATTCTGGATATGGCCCCTGAAGGAGATGATGTAAAAAACCAAAATCTTACAAACGCGAAGTTGATCCTGTCTTTTGGCAACCAGCACATTAAAACATTGGAATACATCTTTATTGTAGTCTGCTAGATTCTGTGTGTCGTTATTTTTAAATTGAGAATGAAAATTGTTCAATGAACATGCACGTTTTATACTTGTCTAGATTTATCTAAGAAAAAACCCAAGTTATCGCAACTCTACTATTCTTTATTTAGTTGGCTTTAAGAGCCCTTTCCAAGTGGGTCTGCACTATCCCAAAGAGGCCCCCGGATGCAACCACGGAAACCTGAATAGTATCTAAGCCCTGACTTTAGTGATGAAATCGCCGTAAATACCGAACCAACCGTAAGAAGAGGAAATCGGTCCACTTCTTTTGAATTCCAAGCCAAGGTCCTTGGTTATTGGGATAATTCCCAGACTGTCTCCAACTACTGTTTGCTTTTTGAAGTTATCACGGGGTAGGTAATACCCAGCTAAGAAACACAGATCAGTTCTTTGGCTTAATTTTCAGAATCTGGTCCAAAGAGCAAGTACCAAGAAACTACCACCTGGTTAGGTCTATGGTTCAAAACAAAACCTGAGGCTTCTTTAGTAACTCTGTGTCTTCAGTTCCCTTCACTCACCCTCCCTCTGTCCTTGTAGGCAGAAGTCTCTCTGTGGACATCCCATGACACAACTTAGAGAGCTGCTTTGCAGTACTGTCTTCCAGGGATTGAGGGAAGGGGACAAATGGGAATGTTTGTCAACTGGGTCACCTTGTCTTATCTGGTTGATGCCTCTGAGAGCTTGTTTTTCTTACTACATGTCCAGGAGCAGAACTGTCTGTACAAGATTACCGTTAGGTTTGGAAACGGGGAGTCCTGATCGTAAGGGAGGTCACAGGCACAAGTCATGAGTAATTACACAAAGCTGTTGTGGAGCAGCGCTCACAGGATGGAAGAAGAAAGCAAGCCCATGGAAGGATGCCTGTTAAGTCCAGGAATGTGGTCCTAGGTTAGGATTAGACTGATGATGATCAGGTCTCACCCGGACCTCTATAATAGGAAATACAGATTCTATCCCCTCGACAGAGGCACCTACATTACAACCGATGGGGACTGGAGACAAATCCTAGCTATCAGAGTGGTAGAAGAGGCGAGAACTCAGAACATAAGAGTATTTCTGATTTCAAACAGCAAAAACTACCTAAAAGTAAAAAAATCCACTTGGAATCAGGGAATCACGGTATCAGGCTTTGGGGTTTAAATGAACACAAACGTGCTCCTTCTCTATCTGGCCTGAAGAAAAGGGGCTCAGCAGTCTCTCAATCCTTGTCAACTCTCAACTGAACACATCAGAGATCCCACAACTAACGAAAAAAAGACGCAAAACAATCTTAGACAATAATCCTGTATCAGTCTTACCCTGGGAAAACACGTTCCCATAATTCTCCTGCCTGTTGTCCCTATTGAGATTCCTCCGAGCCAGGTTCTGACATCCCCATTCCTCCAGGATGAGGGACACGGCCATGTCCTCGATCTTCACCATTGCCTGAAATAATATGAGATCCCCACACTCAGTTCTCCCACAGCTCAGGGACAATCCCATCACCCAAACTTGGGAGTCAGGGACAGAGTTGACTGCAAGCCTGCAGGATGCTGGGAAAGAAAAGGGGATCATGCCAGGCTCTGGTGGATGGGGAGGGTGGGAGTGGGGCTAGTCTGTGGGAAGGGGCATCAAGACTGTGTCCGGGGTGGAGAGAGCTAAAAGAGCTCCAGGAAGAGAGGCGGACACGAGGGTCTCAGGAAGGCAGAGGGGCCCACCGCTCACCTGGGAATCTGCCGTGAATAGTGCAGATGCCATCGCCTGGTCTCTGGGACTCCCCTCGTGATGAGGGGCAGGAACATGGGTGGCAGGGAGAGCTGAGGGAGGAGAAAGGAGCTGTGAGTAAGACCAGCTCTGCTCTGGTCCTCCCCTCCAAGAAGGGCCCGGGGCACTCTCTTTCCTGCCCAAGCATGTTTGATGTTCAGTGTTCAACTACAGAGACTCTAACGAAGAAAAAATATGACCTCTGCTTTTCCAAGTCACAAAAGGGTCCTTAAAATCACCTGATCCAAACCCTTTAGTTTAAAGAGGGGGAAACCAAACACCGAGAAAGTAAATGACTTGCCTAATGTCACACGGCTAAGAATGGCAGAGCCAGAATTACAACCTGGCTTCCTATTCTTCCTTATCTACAGAAGTGGGTAACTTCTGGTTCATGATTCAAGTTGGGCTCACAATTTAATTTTCTCCAGTCCAAGGAACAGTACCAGAGCATCACAACCTCACTCAGTTGCAGAAAATATAACACGAGCATTAACAATCTTTAGTAGTGATATCTTGAAACACAGGGCACAAAGGTGGTCTTTTCTGGCCATTTTTGGTCCTCCTACTTTTCTCCCTCACTTAGCCACAGTTTGATTAAACATATGCGTGGTTCAAATGTCGATGAGACACTAGTACGCAGAAGTGTGGGTCGACCCTGATCTGATACAAGACAGTCTATCAGACGATCACACAAACTGCAGTGTGTAACAACAACTATACAAATTTTTAAACCACAAAATTAAGATCTTCCCTTGCCAAGTAGTATTAGATTTGGTAATGTTACTGGATAAACAGAGAATGTTACTGAGCTGCAAAGACATAAGAGAAATGAATTTGAAACTGAATTACTAAACCTTGTAACTATTTCAGACCGCAGAGTTATAAAACAAGCTAAAGCAAAATGTGCAGAAAGACCGAGTATCTAGCATCTTAACCTTCCGAGAATTAGGAAAGACTCTGGAAGAGGAGTAGTGCTGGGAGGGAATTAAGGATAAATGCATATGGCTGAATTCCCTGGAGAACTATTTACTAAGTATCAACTGTATGTGCCAGGGGCTCTAAACCTCTATTCTGGTGCCAGGAGGTGCTAATCAAGCACTGAAAACTACAAATATTCTCCTCAATGTTGATTTCCCCCCTGTGGAGTGTGGAGAGACCTCACAAGCCCTGTACAGGACATGACTGGGACTGGATGGTCAGTGGTGGATCAGTCAGCACAACGCACTGATTTACAGATTCCTCCAGAATGCACAGAAGAGAATGTTTTCTGAAGCTCTCATATTCCTGCCTTAAATGTCAGCACAAATGAACACACTGGTTAAGGAACGTACCTTTAGCAACGCTTACTGAACAACAGGACTTTTAATATAGTCTTGTTTTTACTGATATTCTATGTACCTACTTTGATTTTTAAATTGAATAAAGACATAGTTAATATTTTCCTCAAAGGAAAAAAAAATTTAAACTGATTTTTATGTATAACCCTGAAATGACATTTCTCCTATTCCTCAAACAAAAACAAAATATTTTCTTCCATCCTTTTCCCACTGTTTGAAATTTCTGAAAGCTAGAAAAAGAGGTTATATGACATTTTTATACATTTTAAATTAAATGAATTTAAAAAATGATCCTTTTCAAGGTAACTTATGAGATTGGACCAGAGTGTTTCAAAACCCAGGCTGGTAAATATATAACCTCTTCCCAGCAATTTCTTGTAAAAAAAAAAAAAAAATCTGCTGGACGTTCAAAATGCTAAAAATTCCAAGAATAATGTAATGTCCATCCAAGTTCATGATGTACATTTCATTTACCTTCTCAGTAACATTAACTCCTTAGGCTGCTCTCTAAGTTAGATTTCCCCCAATATTTAGTAATAATGACAATAATGTGTAATGATAAAAAGACAAGCATGCTTTTTTAAAAAAATTACAGGCCCTCAGCAACACAGAGAGGGCACCCCCATCCCGAATAGTTTGCTTTTCCCCACATGAAACCTTGCTAAGTTCTTACTGCGTGACTGTAAGAGGCGAGGTTTCCGAGATGAATGCTTGAAATGGGACTGGGTGGCCTCATGATGAAGGTCAAAGCTCGAGGACTCCTGCACTGGATCCAGAGGCACCATCCCCCTTGCGAGCATTTCAGGTCCGTGAACTTGACCTGGGACCTGAGGACAAACAGGGTGGGCTTGTGGGTAAATCACTTTTTAAATGGGAATTTAAACAAACAAAAAGATGGTAAGCAGACCAGTGGATGCAGGAGAAGGAGGCCAGCACACCTTTCAGTACCCAAGCAGAGCATAAAGAGTAACCACAAGGACAACTACGGCCAGCTTTAAATTGTAACTTGCTCTTTGTTCCAGGCTTAAAGCCCATGCGCTGCTTACACACAATCGGTTTCACCTCTTCTTACCTGCTGTCCTGATAGATCAAGCTCTAAATCTTCCAGAAGGGTCACGGCCTCCTCCCCACTATCGGGACGGTATTCCTGCAGCCAGACTTGGAGCTCCTTAGGCAGGATGGAAAGGAACTGCTCCAGCACCAGCAGCTCCAGGATCTGCTCCTTGGTGTTGATCTCCGGTCGTAGCCACTGATGACAAAGTTCTTTCAGTCGACTCAGAGCCTCTCGAGGCCCAAACGTGTTCTGGTAACAGAAGTGCCTGAACCGTTGGCGGAAAATCTCTGGGTCGGGAGGAGGCGTCTCCTGCAGGCTGGAATCCTGCCCCCACATATGGTCTTCTTCATCTTCCTCTTCTACCTTCACTATTACGATCCCATCCTTCTCCTGGGCAGCCTGTGGGGACAGACCTGTGGCTTCCCTGGACTCTGCAGTCATCATTCAGGCTCAGGGGGCGGACTTGATCCAAATAGGGTCTGGGCTCTCCTTCCTGGCTTAGGAGATGCTTGCTGAAATGTTTCGGTGCTGTTCCTGACACAGTAAACAGAATTATTAGTGCCTTTATGAAAAGTGACCTGTATTAGCACTTCACACAAGGCTGCACATCGAAGCACTGAAAACACCTCTGAAGAGCAAAAGAAAAAGCCTCCAGAGGCACGCTGTTTTCACTGTCACTTTATATATTAAGGTTTGCAGAGGGGTTCCTGGCTGCCTTTGGTCGGTAGAGCAAGTGACACTCTTGATCTTGGGGTTGTGAGTTCGAGCTCCACATCGGGTGTAGAGATTACTTAAAAATAAAATCTTAGGGCGCCTGCGTGGCTCAGTCAGTTGAGCATCTGCCTTCGGCTCAGATCATGATCCCAGGATCCTGGGATCGAGTTCCACATAGGGCTCCCTGCTCAGCAGGGAGTCTGCCTCTCCCTCTGCCTGTCGCTCCCCCTGCTTGTGCTCGCTCTCGTTCTGACAAATAAATAAATAAAATCTTTAAAAAAAATTATTAAAAATAAAATCTTAAAGGGGCACCTGGGTGGCTCAGTCGGTTAAGCATCTGACTTAGGCTCAGGTCATGATCTCAGGGTTTTGGGATCGAGCCGTGTTGGGCTCCCAGCTCAGCAGGGAGTCTGCTTGTCCCTCTCCCTCTGCCTGCCTCTCCCCTCGCCTGTGCTGTCTGTCTCTCTCTCAGATAAATAAAATCTTAAAAAAAAAAATTTTTTTTCAGAGAGAAACCTCCAATAGGCCAATTCCACCCTTGGGGTGTCTGCCTGAATCCAAACACCTCACCTCCAGGGGCGGCAGGTTATGACACCAGGCTTTTACGGCACTCAGCCCAGCGAGAGCCGAGCGTCAGCAGGGTGCCAGGCACCAAGCTTCAAGCAGTACACGCATCATCTCATTTCCTCCCACAATGGCCCTAGCAAGGAGGCACAACTGCTGGTGTGTTTTTTTTTTTTTTTGACAGAGAGAGAGCAAGAGCAGGAACACAAGCAGGGGGAGTGGGAGAGGGAGAAGCAGGCTTCCCGCAGAGCAGGGAGCC